CATTGTTGTTTGGCGGGTCCGGGCTGGGGATTCGAACCCGCCACCTTAGGTGTACGTGGCTGGCGCCTTAGCCGGTTGAGCTATAGGCGCCGAGCCTACACTGTCATCTTTCAAGCTACTGGTGGTCCCCTGGATGTGCTTCCAGTGACCTGCTTCCACTGGTCACCCTGGCATAGCGGGAGACAGCTGGGAGCCCTTCCCTGTGCTCACGAGTGATACTAGCTTCCTGGGAGCCTCGGGTGGCATCTCTCCATTGCTATTTTGTCTTGATGGGTGTGGGCATATGCCCCCCTCACCTACCCCATAAGCATGGGGCTTTTGCTGTTGGATTTGAAGAATTTTTCTTCTATAAAATTATGACAAGGATTCTGAAAACCTTTCCTTTGGAGCACTTACTTACCCAGAAGGTATGGAAAGAACTAGTGAGTCTGGCAGATCTGGAACTTTCTCTTATGCAGGAAGTTACAGTTTCAAGATTTGGACTCTGAAACTACCAGACAGGAGGCCTGGAACTGCGGTGGCCAGCGCCAATGCTGTGACGGCTCTCTGTGGAGGCTCATGGGTCCTGGGGCTGGCAGTCCTGGTTTCCCAGACCTCACAGCCCAGCTAGGGCCCAGCCCTCTGCTCATACACGGGCCCCAGCTTACTTCCATCCCCATGTGTCATCTGCACAGGCCTCAGCTGTCCTGCTGTAGTTAGCAGGCACCACAAGCTCCCTGTGTGTGCCATGCAGGTGACTGCCACTGTTGTCCTCCTAAGACACTTGTCATCAGTCTGCCTGCTTGGGGCCTCTGGGAGCACAGGGCCTCTCAGCAAGGCCCCCTGCCTCTCCTGGGCCCTGCAGCTCCTGCCTGCCCCAAACTCTGTGTTCAGCAGCCAGCCTCACGGTGCCTCTCCTCACACATTGACAGAACACCGTCTTCCCTCCTTTCTCAGAAGTCGCAGGTTGAACGAACCCATGTTTTGTGAGCGTGTATTGAATGCTCTAACCCTACAGATTTTTACCTCTTCAGGGTTCCTAGAAGTATCTCTCATCAATTGCCCCACCAGCGTGTGTTGGTTATATTGCTTTTAGTAGGAAGCAGGGCTGGTGTCATGGACGTCCCAGAAACCCCATCAGAAGTGCACAGCCCTGCAAGGATGAGCAGGACACTGGGAACACAGGGCCAGAGGGGACCACTTAGGACTCAGAACTGTGTCCAAACACGAGGCTGGGTTGTTAGTACTGAAGGCAGCCTGCAGGGCCCTTTGGGACCATCCCTGCCTGAGGCAGGACCCATGTGCTTTCTGATGGCCTCAAGGGCAGCTGGTGAGCCCAAAGGAGGCTAGAGGGTCAGAGTTTTCATGAACAACACCTAGTTTTCCTTTTTTTTTTGAGACAGAGCCTCAAGCTGTCCCCCTGGGTAGAGTGCCATGGCATCACAACTCACAGCAACCTCCACTCCTGGGCTCAAGCGAGTCTCCTGCCTCCGCCTCCCAAGTAGCTGGGACCACAGGCGCCCGCCACAACGCCTATTGGCTATTTTTTGGTTGCAGCCGTCATTGTTGTTTGGCGGGTCCGGGCTGGGGATTCGAACCCGCCACCTTAGGTGTACGTGGCTGGCGCCTTAGCTGGTTGAGCTATAGGCGCTGAGCCTAGTTTTCCTTTTAAGCATTTAAATTAAGTCTACAGTTCTTGATTATGTTAGTTTTTAAAAATCAGTATCTGTCTTTCATTCTAATAACTTCTTAACAATGACACTGGGATTTTTACAACTTTATTAAAACTTCTTTTGTAACTTACATTTATAAATTTATTTTTATTTCTGTGTAGAGTATTTGAAGTATTTACACAGGCGAAACAATAAATCAAAATCCTGATGGATCTAAAACATTAAAACTCTTTGGGAGGCTCAGATGGGAGAATCATTTGAGGCCAGGAGTTCAAGATGAGCCTGAGCAACATAGCCAAACCCTTGTCTCTATCTAAAATTTTAAAAATTAGCCAAGTATGGTAGCACATTCCTGTAATCCCAACTACTTAGGAGTCTGAAACAGGAGGATCCCTTGAGCCCAAAAGTGAACTATGATTTTGCCATTGCACTCCAGCCTACATGACAGACCTAGACCTTACCTCTAAGCTATATAAATAAAATAAAACATTAAAACTGATAAAGATAAAATCAATAAATATTCTCATACAGGAGGCAGTCCTCAGGATATGGACAAAATACATTCCTGAGAACATCTTCAGGTCAGATTTTTGTATAATTCGGATCCATGGTAAACAGTGCATGGACTGTAATAATAATAGTAATGATGGCAATGCTATAAAGTCTCATATGGTAATAATAATGTGATAGTATAATGCTAGGGATATCGCTGTGCTATGATAATGAGTTACAGAAACTATTATACTGTTTCATTTCAAACAAACAGAAAATAAAAACTCATACAGAAAGTTTAGCTAGGAGATAGAAGAGATTTCAAAACAAATATTAAAGATTAACACCTAATGTGTGAGGCTAACAGGAATATTACCTTATTTTGAACTGACCAAATCAAGAATGATCCTATGTCAGCAGTTGCCCCAGTGCACAGCTCAGTAACAGCGGACACTGTCACCAAGCACTGCCTTACCCATGTCTGCTATTCTCACCTCACCCTGTAATGCCCCACAGCCCACAATGGGAGCCTGATGCCCTCTGGGGACTGATGGCATCTGGCCTTCCTCTAAACACTTGGTTGTACTTTCTTTCCCTTGTTCCTATAGGTACCACATGGAATGTCTGGAACCCCCTCTCCAGGAGGTGCCCGTGGATGAGTGGTTCTGTCCAGAGTGTGCCACCCCCAGCACAGCCCCTGGCACAGGTGATGCGCTGCTCCCTGGGGGCTGGGCTTGCATCCTGTGGAAGGCAGTGAGGTTGGCTATGACTGAGGACTGTCCGGCTTTCCACCAGGCACATGAGCTTCTGCTGAGCTCCCACATGGGAGCTGGAGGAGCTGATGTCTTGTGATTGTGTAGGCTCAGTTAACTGGTCTCTTTGACCTTCAGGGTCTAGAGGAGAAGGTGAGAAGGCCCCAGCCCTGCTCTAGAACTTGCCGTGGCCTGGGCTTCTGCATAGTGAAGGGTGTGACCTGTGCATCTGTCTGGCACATCAGCCCATCTCTTTTCCAAGACCCAGGCTCTGTGAGTGAAGAGGAGGTCTCCCTGCTCTTGGCCGACGCAGAGCCCACCACCAGCAGGCTTCGGCCTCGCGCAGGCAGAACCCGGGCTATTGCTCGGACGCGGCAAAGTGAGAGAGTGAGAGCAACCGTGAACCGCAACCGCATCTCCACAGCCAGGAGGGCCGAGGTGGGTGAGCCTCTCCTCTCTCCGAGGTCTGTCCTGGGGACTCAACTGCCCAGATTAGTCTGAGGCTGGATGGGAAGGGCTGGGACCAAAAGAGGTGCTGTCAGCAGTGTGGGGTCCAAGGCCAGTGGCCCCTGTGTGCCCTGATGGCTCTGGCAATTAACCTGCTGGGGAGCTGGCGAGTGAGTGCAGCTGGACACTCTGACACCCTGTGAGGGTGCAGGCTTAGGTGGGGCCGTGTCCAGAGGAGCAGGTGCCAGTAGGCCAGCCACACACATCCTTGAGCTGACCCAACTGCCAGCTCCTTGCCCTCATCCAGCACCTGAGTACATCTTCCTCAGGGCCACTCCTCCCTGTCCCCAGACAGTGTACAGTGTATCTGGACCAGCAGGAGAAGCCAGGGGGAAAGAGTGGGCTCCTCTCCAATGTCATGTGTTTGCCTTCGACACATGTTATGCTGCATTCAGGATTCTGGGTTGGAAAGGCTGACCCTTGCCGTCCCTCTGGCTCCTGACTCCTTCCATGTGTCCTGGCCACTCATGCTCACTGTAGAAGTGCACGGCACCTGTTGAAAAAGAGGGGGGTGGTGCAGTGGCGGCAGCCGGGCTTTGCTCAGCATTCTGCTGGGGCTGCCCTGCTGACCAGACATCCCTCTGCTATGTAGCACGTACCAAGGCACCTCCTGTCTTCTCTCCTGGATGAGACTATTGAGGCAGTAGCAACTGGCCTGAGCACTGCCATTTATCAGCGCCCTCTCACACCTCGAGCTCCAGCCAAACGGAAGAGGAAGACAGGTAAGCTGGCCGGGTGGGCTATCCAAGTCGCCGAGTGTGTAGGTCCCAGCTGCACCAGTGCCTCCCCGTCAAACGTTCTGTTTCCCAACCTGGGGTGTGGTCATTTCCATGTCTTTCTGCAACTTAATTTTCTCAGCAAAAAATGCCATGCAAAGCCACACTACAGTCCTAGGCAGTCTGGGTCTGGGTTATTAGATAGATTTATGCAGGCATGCTACCTCTGGCCTTCCAGAATCCCTCTGCCTTTGTTTTATGGAAGCATTTGTGGAAGGATTGCTAATCTGTGAATGTCTGACAGAATGCACCAGTGCAGCCCCTGGGCTGGGCTTTTCTGTGTAGGAGAGTTGAGGTGCAGCATCCCAGCTCCATTCGGTTCTGTTCTGTCTGATCTTCTCCTCACTGAGGAGCATCCTGCGTGTGTGTGCGCGCCACAATCTGCTCATGCAGAGACCTGCTGGGCATGAGGTGGTTCCATTTTGAGGCCTCTAAGAATAAAGGTGCATGAGTCCTGTGGGCAGATACATCACTTCCCAGGGTAATCCAGAGGAGTGGACCACTTGGATCGTCGGCAAATGCAAGTTCAATTTTACAGGAATCACCTAGGCCGCTTCCATTTCAGACTCCCATTGTTGGAACCTAAATTGCTGCTAAGAGACCACTATACACACATATAAAAACAAAGAAGTGCTTTTATTTAAATGCAAGCATATGCCTGGGTCACTCCACCCTACAGCATAGCGGGGAGGGGCGACCCCAAAGTGAAGCTAGTGAAGTGAAGCTAGCGGAGGTTTTTAAAGCATATAGAGAAATTCCATCGAGTGTTTTGTCAGGAGGAGTTGCTATTGGCTGAGCTGTTACAGTTAGGGACTTTCTAGAGGGGGGTTGTTTGTCTGTTTCTGATAGACTGGCTCCCTCTGAGCCGATTGACCTTGCCCAGAAGCGCAGAGAGGGGAAGCCGGTCCCCTTCAGACTGGCTGCCTAGGAGGGGAGCCAGTCTTCTTCAGACTAGCTGCCCAGAAGTGAGGAGGAGGGAACCAGTCTCCTTCTGATAGACTGATTCCACCTGGGTGACCTTGCCCAGGAGGGGAGTGGGGAGTTAGTTCCAAGATGTAGTTACATTAACCTTTTCACCATCACCAACACGCAAGAGTCTGGTGGCTGCACACTTTCTCTCACTTGCCTCTCAGAGCAGCACCATCATCGCCATGACAGTAGGCGCATGCACTGCCTGTGCTGCCCAGGGATCCCTCAGAAGTGCCTCTGGGCCTGGCCACTGCTCCTGGGATGGGTGTGGTGATAGGTACCTTGTGCACATATGGCCTTGTCTTTGGAGCAGGCCCTTCTTGGCAGCATGTCCATCTAGTGTGAGCTGAATTTTAGACTGAATCTGAGCTCTGCACTGTAGTCGGTCTCCATGTTTCTAGGCCTGCTCCATGAGCAGGGGAAGGGAGAACTCTTCAGATCATTCTGTTACCTGCAGTTAAAATTCAGGATTGGGGCTCGGCACCTGTGGCTCAAGCGGCTAAGGTGCCAGCCACATACACCTAAGATGGCGGGTTCGAATCCCCAGCCCGGGCCCACCAAGCAACTATGACGGCTGCAACCAAAAAATGGCCAGGCGTTGTGGCGGGCACCTGTAGTCCCAGCTACTTGGGAGGCTGAGGCAGGAGACTCGCTTGAGCCCAGGAGTTGGAGGTTGCTGTGAGCTGTAATGCCATGGCACTCTACCCAGGGGGATAGCTTGAGGCTCTGTCTCAAAAAAAAAAAAAAAAAAAAAAAATTCAGGATTGCTAGATTTTTTACTTCACTTTTTTTTTTTTTTTTTTTGAGACAGTCTACCTTGGTAGTGCGTTATGGCATCACAGCTCACAGTAACCTCAAACCTTTGGGTTCAAGTGATTCTCTTGTCTCAGCCTCCCAAGTAGCTGGGACTATAGGTGCCTGCCAAAATGTCCAGCTATTTTTAGAGATGGGGTCTCCCTCTGGCACAGGCTGGTCTTGAACCTGTAATTACGCTCAGCCAATCCACCCACCTCAGTCTCCCAGAGTGCTGGGATTACAGGCAGGTGCCACTGCGCCCAGCCACTTTACTTCACTTCTCCTACTGTACATCTGTGTCTCCTTTCTCTTGTATGAAACTCCAGTTGTGGCTTGGCGCCTGTGGCTCAAGCAGCTGAGCACCAGCCACATACACCTGAGCTAGTAGTGGGTTTGAATCCAGCCCGGGCCTGTCAAACAACGATGGCTGCAATCAAAAAATAGCCAGGCATTATGGTGGACGCCTTTAGTCCCCGCTACTTGAGAGGTGGAGGCAGGAGAATCACTTGAGCCCAGGAGTTGGAGGTTACTGTGAGCTGTGATGCCATGGCACTCTACCCAGGGTGACAGCTTGAGGCTCTGTCTCAAAAAAAAAGAAAAAGAAACTCCAGTTGTCACTATTGACAGTGTGATGACTTCCTCATTTCACCCTATTCTACAGACATCCATCTCAGAATAATAATGGGGTCACATTGCTTCTTACTCTGTGATTAGAGACAGGCATTTAAGATCCTTCACGTGTTTGTTGCAAACTTATATCCCACTGAGCACTTATAGTCAAAGCACTTGTAAGGTTGTTTTAGAATAACTTTATTAAGACAAATGTGTATTGTTTGTTTTATTTTGCTGCAGTTACTTTTTGCTTGGCTCACTACTGACTTTTCACAGTCTCTGTAGATGTCCACCTAGGCTGTGTAATGTGGGGGGAACATTGTGCAACCCATTCACCTGCTCACCCCCAGCTTTTCATGGTCAGGTTGCTTCATGGCCAGTGGTCACCTGTTTCCTCCTGCATTATTTCGAAACACATCTTCCCATCATTATCATTTTATCTGCAGGAATTTTATAATATAGTCCTAAAGAGAGATGATTTTTAGATGTAACTATAATGCCATTGTTATGCCTGAGAAAATGGATAGTAGCTCCTTAACACTAGGAATAGCCAGTCAGTGTTGAAGGTTTTAAGTGTGTCATAAATATCATTAAAAAAAAGTTCAAGTAAGGCGGTGCTTGTGGCTCAAAGGAGTAGGGCACCAGCCCCATATGCCAGAGGTGGTGGGTTCAAACCCAACCCTGGCCCAAAACTGCAAAAAACAAAATAAAAATAAAAAGATGAAGTAGTTTATTTGGATCAAGTGTCAAATCAGATCCCTACTGGGATGCGTGACAGCTTCTGCCCAGCACCTCTTATCTTTGCCGCCCTTCCTCTGTGGAGTGCACCAGCCCTCTGCCCATAGGGGCCTCACTGCTGGTTGCAGATTGTCCATACTTTGTTCCTGTTTGGTTTCTCAGGTTCAGGCTAAGTTCAGTTTCGTTTCTTTTCTTTCTTTTTTTTTTGAGACAGAATCTCACTATCACTAGTCTCACTAGTTGCTCTTGGTAGAGTGCTGTGGCATCACAGCTCACAGCAACCTCAAACCCTTGAGCTGAAGCGATTCTCTTGCCTCAGCTTCCCAGGTAACTGGGACTACAAGCACCCGCCCCAACGCCCAGCTATTTTTTTGCTGCAGTTGTCATTGTTGTCTAACTGGCCCAGCCAAGTTCGAACCCACCCGTCCTTGTATATGTGGCAGGCACCCTAGCCACTGAGCCTGAGTTCAGTTTCTTTGCTCTTATGTTTGTGAGGGGCCTGAGCTGGTGTGCTCTGGCAGGAAGTGCTGTGGGTGACCTCGACTGCTGTTCTGATGAGCTGGGAAGTGCCTGTAGGACAGACACGCCCTCCTCTACTGCTTGCTTGCAGCAGTGCGGTTTGCACAGACACAGAAGGGCAATGCCCTGGTTTGTTTTCCTTTATTTGACAGTTTTCAAAATAATAAAGTTGCTTAGCATTGTTCTGCAGTAGAAATCAGTTAAGGTTTTTAACATCATGATAAACTTAGGGAGTTAAATACATACGTCTCTGGCCTGGCATGGGATAAGTGCCTGTAGTCTTGGCTCCTTGGGAGGCTGAAGCAGGAGGGTGTATTGCGCCTAGGAGTTTGAAGCTTCAGTGAGCTATGGTTGTGCCACTGCACTCCAACTTAGGTGACAGAGCAAGACCCTACCTCGAAAAATAAAATAACAGGCCAGGCACGGTGGCTCACCCCCGTAATCTCAGTACTGTGGGAGGCTAAGGCGGATAGATTGCCTTAGCTCACAGGTTCAAGACCAGCCTGAGCAAGAGCAAGACCCCATCTCTAAAAATAGCTGAGTGTTGTGGTGGGCACCTGTAGTCCCAGCTACTCGGAAGGCTGAGACAAGAGAATCACTTCAGCCCAAGAGTTTGAGGTTGCTGTGAGTTATGATGCCATAGCACTCTACCAAGGGCAACAAAGTTAGACTGTATAGATAGGGAGGGAGGGAGGAAAACTAAGTAGCTGGGCAGAGTGGTGGGCACTGGTAGTCCCCGCTACTTATGAGGCTGAGGCAGGAGGATTGCTTGAGCCCAGGAGTTTGAGACTGTAGTGAGCTATGATGCCATGGCAGTCTATCTAGGGTGACAGAGGGAGACTTTGTCTGAAAAGTAAAAACAAAAACAAAAAACCCCATGCATCTTGAGTGCAGATCTCTTTGTCTTGATTGCTATCTTCCTCCATGCTGAGATTCCTGGCAATTTTTCTGGGGATGCTACCTTATAGAATTAAGGTACCCCATGGTTGTTCCGGGCTTGTCTGCAGCAGCACCCACCACCTTTAAGACGAAGGATTTGGACTGAAATCCTGGGCGTTTTTGCAGTTAAAAAATGTTTTAGTCTTGGCTCAGCGTCTGTAGCTCAAGTGGCTAAGGCACCAGCCACATACACCTAAAGTGGCGGGTTCGAATCCAGCCCAGGCCTGCCAAAAACAACAATGACGGCTGAAATCAAAAAGTAGCCGGGCGCTGAGGCAGGAGACTGGCTTGAGCTCAGGAGTTGGAGGGTGCTGTGAGCTGTGATGCCATGGCACTCTACCCAGGGGGATAGCTTGAGGTTCTGTCTCAAAAAAAAAAAGTTTTAGTCTTCAGAGAATGAACTAGAGATGGCACACTGACTCAACTGTCTTAGTCTGTGTCCCACATGGCTGAAACAAGGTACAGAGAAAGGGTCATTGGTTTTATTTGACTTGTGTTTATCAGACTTTGTTTTTTTCTATTTTGTTTCATAATCATGTTAAATAATGTTCTAAAAGTGAGTCTACAAGGTGTATTTGGAGAAGTCAAGTCTGCCCTTCACTGCTGCCTATTCACTCTCTCCCTCCCCCATTGAGATGCATTATTTTTTTAAACTTTTTTTTTAGAGACAGTCTCACTTTATTGCCCTTGGAAGAGTGCTATGGCATCATAGCTCACAGCAACCTCCAACTCCTGGGCTTAGGCGATTCTTTTGCCTCAGCCTCCCGAGTAGCCGGGACTACAAGCGCCTGCCAGATTATGGTTTTTTTTAAAAGTCCAAGCCAGAGGCTCAGCGCCTGTGGCTCAAGCAGCTAAGGTGCAAGCCACATACACCTGAGCTGGTGGGTTCGAATCCAGCCCAGGCCTGCCAAACAACAATGGCCGCAACCAAAAAAAGCTGGGCGGTGTGGCAGGTGCCTGTAGTCCCAGCTTCTTGGGAGGCTGAGGCAAGAGAATCGCTTAAGCCCAGGAGTTGATGTTTACTGTGAGTTGTGATGCCTGGCACGCTACCCAGGGCAACAGCTTGAGGCTCTGTCTCAAAAAAAAAAAAGGCCAAGCCAGAACTCCTGCAGGGCTCTGTCTTCTCAGGGTAGGACTCACATCAAGGTGGGAGGGCCCAGCACAAAGTGAAGTCCTCTTTCTAGGAAAACGGAAGAAAGCTCTAGGAAGAAAGAAAACCCAGTCCAGATCATCTGCAAGAAGGAAGGGCTCGGGGCCAAGACCTAAGAAACGCCGCCTGAGGAGGAGGAAGGGGGAGCAGAGGAAGGTAACAGCTGTGCTCAGGTTCCTCCTCCATGTATCTGAGCAGTGGGGTCACTTATGGAGACAAGCCTGTCTGTGGGGTGGGTTGAAGAAGACCTTGAGACAGGTGTCCCCAGCCTTTGGGACTAGAACACTGAGGGCCATGTGACTCCTCCTCAGGGGATGGCCTATGGGGCACAGGCAGGCCGGTGGCCCATGGGGGCCATAGCACTGAGCCACCTTCCTAGGGTCCCCAGCAACTGGCACAGGGCTCTTGGTATGCCAGCAGCCTGGGCAGGTGTGTTCCCAAGCACTTGATCCTCATTCATAATGCTAAGTGAATGTTTAGTTATTTTTAATTTGACATTTAATAATTGTCATAAACATTGCCACATGTTTATATGGAATGGTGTCACATTTTCCTACATGTATATATTATGTAAAATTAAAGTTTAATATATAAAAGACAAAGGCCTGAGTTTCAGCCATTGTTCCAGTGTTTATGTGAATTTGTATCTAAGATCATGACCCATTTCCTAATAAGTATAAATTGACACACTATGTGTCACACATAAATTATAGATTTATGTAAAAATATGATTCAGTTTTAAATGTAGTATTTGAACATCTGGCCTATTTATTCATTTGGACAAAATTCCCCAAGTAAGTAGAAACCCCAGCTGTGACCAACTGTGGGCATTTGCAGGTGCATACCTATTGTTTCCAGTTCTCTGTTACTAGGCACACTTCCCTTTCTGTGACACCCCGAGATTAGAGTGGGACCTATACATGTGTCACTGCCACCTCTTTGTGCCTGTGCCTAGCAGGTTCTAGAATGTTTCGGATGTTTCAGGGCTTCATCCTGTGCTCCCCTCCTCCGCCCAACAGCAGCTGCTCTTCAACAGCTCCTCTCCTCCCATAGGGTGTTCTCGGCCCACGGCCCACACTGTGTAGCAGGGACAGAGGGCACACACCTGAGGGGCAGCACCTGCCTTCAGGCTGCACAGACACATGGTCCCAGCCCCCGTACCTAGAATAAGAAGCTAGTAATGGCATTCTGTGATGCCTAGTAACCCAGGCGTATTCCTGGGTTACACGAGGTGGTGTCTGCCTGATGGCTGCCCTTCTCAGGTGGTCTGTGAGCCTGTGCATCTCTGGCACACCTATGAGCCATCAGCAGAACTTTTTTTTTTTGCAGTTTTTGGCCTAGGCTGCATTTGAACCCGCTACCTCCAGCATATGGGGCTGGTGCCTTACACCTTTGAGCCACAGGTGCTGCCTATCAGCAGAATTTTTTTTTTACCTCTTTGTGAGTTCTCACTTGACGCAAAATACCACTTGAATGGCACTTGGTAACCTGCAGTGAGTTGTTGCTTATGGGTGTAGATGTTGGGTATACTTGTTAATTGTTTATGGTTAAGTAAAATCTCTAAACTTTATGATTAATTTATACAAAGCCCTTTGCCTTTGGTTTAATATTTACTCAACCTAGCATTTCATGTTGCTATTTAGACTTCACGTGACGTTTCTAGAACCTTTAGATGTTATTTCTATATATCAGTTATTCCTTTTCTTTGTTACTTGGTTACAGAACGAAATCACTGCTCGTTCTCGAATTGCACGGACTCTAGGGCTCTGCAGGCCGGCCCACGGAACCTGTATCCCATCGGTGTACAAGGCAGTGGACCCCTCATTGGGGCTGATGCGAGCAGAAATTGGAGCAGCCTCTCTGTCTGTGTTTGGAGACCCCTACGAGCTGGACTCCTTTGATAGGTGACTGCCCAGGGGGATGTTCCCGCATGGGCACCTTTTCCTTAGTCCCTGGGCCTATGGGCAGGGACCCTGTTGTACGTGCATGGCCTCAGGCTTCATGTTTGTAAAAATCAGGGTATCAGCCCTGTCCCAGAGTCCTCCTTAGGTGCCCTTAGAGAGAGAGAGGTGTGGGGCAGGGCTTACGGTTATCTGAGAGTGTTGTCTGCCTGCCTGCCTTCCTGTCCCGTGTGTTTGGTATTCAGTCATTAACACCACCCCATAGCCAGTGCTTGGCCCATCTTCCATAGCACTGTCTCTCTTGCCTTGGGGCCAGGGGTCACCTGTCCTCTTTGGCTTGTGTTTTCCCCTATAGCAGTGAAGAACTTTCTGCAAACCCTCCTTCCCCTCTGACTGCCAAGAGGAGGGCTCTGTCCCGGTCAGCCCTACAGTCTCACCAGCCTGTGGCCAGGCCTGTTTCCGTGGGGCTCTCCAGGTGCGTGAGAGCAGGGTTCTCTGGAATTGGGGGGTAGGAAGGGTACAGGGGATGGTGGCCCCCAGCATCTCCCCTTGGCTTTGACACAGGTGCAGGCAGCTCTTGCAGTGAGTGGTACTTCAGCCTGTCCTGTGTCAAGTCATGGCAGAGAAGCTGCAGGCCCCAGCCCACCTAGGACCATGGGGTGGGTAGCCACAGCTCTGAGCTCTGCAGAGGGAAGTGGCTCAGACAGGGAGACCGACCCTGGTGAAGCCGGCTGTCATCAGAGCCGCAGTCACCTCTTGGGTGGTCCTTTTGCCCCCTAAGAGAAAGAACTTGCCAAGCCACCAGGACTTGTAAAGGTGTTCATCTGTCAGCCCCTGACTTTTGGTACCGTATAGTCAGGTCTGACAGAAAGATCAGAAGTGACTCTTCCCCAAAATACTTGGTTTTCCTATAATGGGAGCTGCTCGGTAGGGCTGCCTCCTTCCTCTGGGGGAGCCTGGCCCTGCCTACTTCTGGGCTCTGTGGGGGCACCTGGCTTCAGGGGCACAGGTGGGGACACTATGGCAGGGTCCATCCTTGGGTCTATGCCCACAGGAGGGGTCTTCCTGCTTCGGTGCCAGAGCCAGATGTAGAGGAGGCCCCTGTGCCTGACCTGCTGGGGAGTATCCTGTCAGGCCAGGACCTCTTGATGATGAGCGGTGCTGACATCACCATCCACCGAGATGGCTCCCTCAGTGCCAAGAGGACAGGTGAGACACATGCCCCTCCCACCCAGTCATGGGGCCTATTGCTTTCCAGACCAGCCTCTGAGTGTCTGGTTGGGGTTGGGGGGCAGGTCTTAAAGTGCTGAAATTAGGACTGAGTATTGCTCAGTTGTTCCTGCCCTTTTTTCCCATCCTTCCCTGAGGGAAGTTGGGATGACAGTGGAATTGCTCATGGAGCCCCACAAGCTGGCCTTATCAATACCTTCTGTGCAGGCTGGGTACAGTAGCTCACACCTGTGATCCTAGTACTCTGGGAGTCCAAGACAGGTGGATCCCTTGAACTCAGGAGCTTGGGACCAACCTGAGCGAGAGCAAGACCACAGCTCTACTAAAAATAGAAAAACTAACTGGGCATGGTGGTAGGCGCCTGTAGTCCCAGCTGCTTGGGAGGCTAAGGCAGGAGGATCACTTGAGCCCAGGAGTTTGAGGTCACTATGTTTGAGGTTTCTGTGAGCTATGGTACCAGGGCACTCTACCTAGGGTGACAGGAAAAAAACAAATATCCTTTCTGCAGCCCTGGGCCTGGGAGGGCATGGGGCAATTCAGCTCAGGCACTTTCTTTTTTTTTTTTTTTTTTTTCTGAGACAGAGTCTCACTTTGTTGCCCTCGGGAGAGTGCTGTGATATCACAGCTCACAGCAACTCTTGGACTTATGTGGTTCTCTTACCTCAGCTTCCTGAGTAGCTGGGACTACAGGCACCTACCACAAGGTCCGGCTTTGTTCTTGTTGTCATTGCTGTTGTAGCTGACTGGGGCCAGGTTCAAACCCGCCACCCTCAGTATATGGGCCTGGCACCCTATCCACTGAGCCACAGGCGCTGCCCTGGCTCAGGCACTTTCTCATACACTGGTTCTGTAACTGTTAGAGAACACATGGGCGGCAGCAGTATGAGGGATCTGTAACCCCACAGGGCAAGGAGGCAGCCCAGGCCCCATCTACCTATTCGCCAGCACCCAATGGGTGTAGAAGTGCCTACTGGGTGTTGAGTGCCCACCTCAACAAACAAGATAGGACTTTAAAGTGCACAACTTCATACCCCAGTGCGTTTTGCAGCAGGGCAAGAGCCCATCTCTGAAATAGTAAGAAAAATTAGTGGTGGCTTGTACCTATAGTCTAGCTACTCAGAAGCATGGGGTAGGAGAATCAATTAAACCCAAGAGTTTGAGGCTGTAGTGAGCTGTGATCAACCTGGACAAGAGTGAAACCATGTCTCTTTAAAGAAAGGAGCACGACTTAAAGGAAAGTTTTGATGAAAGTTAAAGAATTTGGTGGGAAATGATTGCCATTTGACGTTTTGTTTTTTAGCTCCAGTTTCTTTTCGGCAAAACTCAGTTGGTCCCTCTAAAGGGGAAGAAGGGTCCAGGGACAGCCTGCAGCCTGGAGCGCTGCCCTCAGGGAGCCCAGCTGACCGCTTTTTGGGGAACAGGCCGCAGAGCTCAGGGTTGAGCTGTCAGGGCAGGTTGGCCCCAGCCTGCGCCCCTTCCCGCACATCAGGGGCACCTGTGAGGCTGAACTCGTCAGTGACCCCTGGGACAGGTCAAGCTCGGAACTTGTCTGATGGGAGTGGGCCTGGCTCAAGACAGAGGGCCGGCCCCAGCTTCAGTGGCTCTCTCAAGCACACTTTGCCTCTCGGTTCCACCTCATCTAAGACTCCCAGTAGTTATTCTAACTGTCCGTCTAAAAGCACGGTCCTGGGACATGCCCTAAAACCAGCCCCCAGGAGAGCTGATGTCTCCATGCTACCCCGGATACCAAAGATCAGAAGAAATGACAGTGGCAGTAGGCAGGATGCAGTCCCTGCTCGTGGGCAGAGCATTGAGATCCCTAGTGCCTGCATCAGCCGACTGACAGGCAGGGAAGGCCCTGGGCAGCCAGGGCGAGGTGCCCAGGCAGAGAGCGAGCCCAGCAACAGGGCTCCCCAGGAGCCCAGTGGGCACACGGGTAGTACCCGACCCCCAGCCCCCAGCGCCCATGGCAGTCTCTCCCCACTGGGGCCCTCAAGAGGGAAGGGTGTTGGGTCGACCTTTGAGAGCTTCAGGATCAATATTCCTGGGAACACAGCACATTCCAGCAGACCTTCCAACCCTGGCTTCTGTAACACGTTCAGGCCTGTGGACAGCAAGGTACAGAGAAAGGAGAATCCTTCACCCCTTTTCTCCATCAAAAAGACAAAGCAGCTCAAAAGCGAGATCTATGACCCATTTGACCCTACCGGCTCTGATTCCAGTCCCCCAAGCAGCAGCCCTGAAAGTCTTGGTTCCAGCCTCCTGCCATCCGAGATCACACGGACCATCTCCATCGACAGCCCCAAGGCCCCGGCGCTGCAGACTGTGCGCTGTGTCACCTCCTACACAGTGGAGAACATCTTTGACATGGAGCCTGTACCCTCCTGCAGGCCTCCCTCCAGCGTGCTCAAGCTCCAGGGTGTGGGGGCTGCTAAGGTGTCCCCTGGCGTGGAGCAGGAGGGACTGGACGAGGAGGAGCCTGCAGAGAGCCAGGGCACTGCCGCCCAGGTACAGAGGCTGTCACCCTCAGAGCCTTGGGATGAGGATGATGGGGCATCTCACGGCACCTTCTTTAGCTCTGAGGAGCGGACAGTGACCTGTGTGACTATTATAGAGCCAGACGCCCCACCCAGCCCGGATGTACCACACGCAGCCACCCACAGGGTTGTAGAGCTGCGCACCCCTTCCCGGTCCCGCTCCACGTCCAGTTCCCGCAGCAGGAAGAAGGCCAAGAGGAAGAAGGCGGCCAGAGAGCATCGGAGAACACGTTCTGGGACCCGTTCTGGCTCCAGGGACCGGAGCTCAAGGTCAGCATCACCGTCAGTAGGTGAAGACCACACCAAGAGGCACCGGTCTAAGGCCAAGAGCCGGAGGTCTTCCAGCGACTGCTCCAGCAGCCATGAGAGAGCTAAGAAGAAGAAGGCCAAGGACAGGAACGAGGAGCGGCGGCGAGGGCCTTGGGGCCACGGCCGCAGGCCTCCACGGTCCCGCTCAGTGAGCCCCGGGAGCTCCTCCTATGAGCATTATGACAGCAGGAAGAAGAAGAAACGGAGGTCAGGGTCCCGATCCCGAGGGAGAGAGTGCTCCCCCACCAGCAGCCTGGACAGGGCCCACAGGCACAGGCATCAGCGTGACAGGAGCCGTGAACGGGTGGACAAGAAGGGGGGTGTGGCCCGGCTCCGAGAGAGGAGGCGGAGGTCATCATCACCCAGCTCCGAGCATAGGGCACGGGAGCCCCGGCAGCCACGTTCCCGTGAGAAGCGGCCCCGGACCTGGTCCCGTTCCCCAGAGCGGAAGGGGGCTGTGAGGGGAGCTTCCCCAGCCCCCCATCCACAGGGAGAGCCCAGGCGAGACGGAGACCACAGGCTGCCAGCCCTGGCAGAAGCAGGTGTCTCTCCAGAACTGGCTGTGGCTGTGACCCACAGTCCACCTCCAGAGGTCCCCTCTGCCCTGGAGGTGCCCCCTGAGTGTGTGCCCAATGACGACGACCTGGATTATGGTGACTCTGTAGAGGCAGAGCACATCTTTGAGGCTTTTGCAGGTGACACCGTCTTCATCCAACTTGAAGACATGAGCTCCCCGCCTTCTCCTGAAAGCTCAGATTCCTCCCCAGAGCGAGGCTTTCTGCCAAACCCTGGGTTGCCACCAGCCAGCCTGGCCATGGCTGCCATCCAGAGGGAGGTGTCACTGATCCATGGTGAAGACACTGCCCAGCCCCCGCCCCAGGCAGAGGGCCCCCAAGACCAGCACTTGCTCAGGCAGGGTGTGCTTGAGGCCTCCATGGTACCAACTGCCCTGGGCATAGTGCCCATGGGAAAGGAGGCTGGCCCCTCAGGCAGTGGGCAGGTGCAGGAGGCGGCCAGGCCTGAGGAGGTGGCCCCACAGCCCCCTTTGCTGCGCTCCCGAGCACCCGTGAAGAGAGTCACCTGGAACCTCCAGGAGTCAGAGGGCGGGACCCCAGCAGAGGACAGGGCCCTTCGTGAGTAGGCATCCCCAGCAGGGGCACTTCCCAGGTGTGGGTGGACTGGGACAGGGGAGGGTGGGGTATCTTCCTGTGGTCCAGGCAGAAACAGGCAGTGGACCAAGAGTGGCTCTCACCTTCTCTGGCTCCTCAGGCCTATGAGTTAGTCTATGGGCCTTCCTCCTGGGGTGCTTTTCTGGAGCATTCATCTCACCTGTCTGGCCTTCAGGGACACCACTTCACAGGCCGCAGAAGCCCTGGGAAGGAGTCTGGGAGGTGGAGGACACAGCTCCTGGGGGAGTCAGGCTGGTCACCGTCTCTGAGCTGCCTCTTCCCAGTCACGTGCTTCCAGAGCCTGGGTTCCAGGACTCGAATCCTGCTCAGGTAGGTTCCTGGGCTGGAGAGCTGTGGGCTTTGCCAGTCGCAGGAACAGGGCTTGGTACTCAGCAAAGGTGATCTTCGCAGGTCTGCAGCCCTGACTTGCCTCCTGCTACAGCTCAGCAGCCCTCAAGCATCCAACCCTGTGCACTTGCTGGCCAGCCCGCTGTCCAGTTTGCTCTGCAGGGGCAAACCCCAGTAGGCTGCGGGCCAACACAGAGCCTGGCTGCTGTGCTCCCTGTTGTGACCTCAGCCTTGGAGCCAGCCAGCCAGGCCCCTGTAGCCAACGACTCAGAGGAGCAGACCCCCACTCCCAGACCAGCCACAGAGAAGACTAAGAAGGAGGAGGTGAGTCCTGCCCTTCAGCTTCCTCCAGGCTCCCAGCCCTGTGAATCCAGCATTCCGGAGCTGCTTAGGGGCCACAGCCAACCTGGGTGGGCCTGGCAGCAGATGCGGGCCTGGGTCTCTGGAGAAGCCTGGTGCTCTCAGCCCCCTGGGTCTGTACCCATGTGGGCCTGCCGGTCACCCCATTCTTGCTCTTGCCCAGTACATGAAGAAGCTGTATGTGCAGGAGCGGGCAGTGGAGGAGGTGAAGCTGGCCATCAAGCCCTTTTACCAGAAAAGGGAGGTGACCAAGGAGGAATACAAGGACATCCTACGCAAGGCCGTGCAGAAGGTGGGCCTCAGGGGGCAGGCAGGCCGTCTACACATGTGCTCTCAGGCCCGAGGTCACAGGCAGCATCACTACACGGGGTGGTCAGCCATCACGCGTGCAGTGGCTGCTGTGCCCTGACACTGGTTCTGAGGTGTGTAAGTAGTAGGGGCTTAGCTGTGTGGGTGTGGGGCAGCATCGTGTGTCCTGGCTCCCTCCACTTCACTTCATCTGCCTGGAGCTGGCCCTTGTTCCTCCGGGAGATGCATGATGGTGTCTGTGCCCGGGACACTTGTCACTTGCCAAATAACTAATATTTAAAATCACCTAGTTGGCTGGGCACCTGTAGCACAGTGGTTATGGGGCCAGCCACATGCACTGAGGCTGGCGGATTCAAACCCAGCCCAGGCCTGCTAAACAACTAGAACAACAAAAAATATCTGGGCATTGTGGCGGGCACCTGTAATCCCAGCTACTCCAGAGGCTGAGGCGAGAGAATCGCTTAAGCCCAAGAGCTGGAGGTTGCTGTGAGCTGTGACACTACTGCACTCTACTGAGGGCAAGGAAGTGAGACTAAATTCTGAAACAGGGTTGGCATCTAGGGCACCAGCCACATACACCAGTGCTGGTGGGTTCAAACACAGCCCGGGTCTGCTAAATAACAATGACAACTACAACCAAAAAATAGCCGGGCATTGTGGCGGGCACCTGTAGTCCTAGCTACTCAGGAAGCTGAGGCAAGAGAATCGCTTAAGCCCAAGGGTTTGAGGTTGCTGTGATCTGTGACACCAGGCACTCTACTGAGGGCAACAGTATAATGAGACTCGGTCTCAAAATAAATAAAAATAAAATTACCTAGTCCACAGTTTACAACAGGCCTCCCAGCACACCTCATACCAGGGTCTCAGCTCAGGTGTGTGTCTTTCTGGCTCATGACACCTTTGAGTCCACAGCAGCCCCATGAGTGGCAGAGTGATGAACCAGGGGCTCGAGGGTACAGGGAGCGGCCCCTGCCACACGGTCTTGATGCTGGCACCAGCACCTGTGCACAGGGATGACAGGTTCTTGCTGTGGGAGTTTGTTTGTGAAAGGGTATCTGGTGCCAGTACGTCTTTTTCCAGATCTGCCACAGCAAGAGTGGTGAGATCAACCCCGTGAAGGTGGCCAACCTGGTGAAGGCCTACGTGGACAAGTACCGGCACATGCGAAGACATAAGAAGGCGGAGCCTGGAGAGGAACCGCCCACTCAGGGGGCGGAGGCCTGAGGCTGGTGGCATCTCACAGCATACCGTCTCTCCTGCCTAGGGTTCCTGTGATGACCCGGTGTGTGCACCTGTCTTGCTCAGTTTAAACTGGACTTTTTGTATGTGTATATAGGCAGTTTCCATTGTGTTCTAATTTATCAAAAATGCATTATCTTTAGAAACTTCTCTGCTGACTTAATAATACTTGGAAAGTAAAGCCTTTGGTGATAAGGAGGCCTCCTAGCTGAAGGGGGTTGGTAGGGGTGACAAATCTCCAGATAGCCTCCTTCCTGCTAGCAGCCTCATACACCCATCTGTGTAGTATTCCTTTCTACTGTCCACTTAGCTCCAGTTTACACTCAACTCAGCTGACTCTCAGAAAGCAGGACAGTTTGGGTGGCTCTCAAAAGCTGGGGATAGCTGCTGGGTGCAGAGCAGAGCTGGCTGCTTGTGGGGCCACAGGGAGCCCTCCCCAGTGAACCTGGTGCTGAGCAGCTTATTGGCTTGACTTCCTTCACGGCAAGAACAGAGGCAAGAGTGGGTGTGCCAGGAAGGCCACAGTGTGCAAGAGAGTGGGGGTCACCTCCCTGGGTTCTGGCAGGTCATAGGGGGACATGCTAGGCAGCCAGAACCTGGACCCCCAAGCCAACCCACAGTCAGGACACCAGTACTGGTTGTGGGGTTCTCTTTATTAGATGGGATGTTGGGGGCCGGCTTAGGCAGGCTGCTCCAGCTCCATGAGGAAGCGCTCAATGTCATCGTAGAGGCTGCTGGTACTGGATAGGCACAGGCTGAGGCTACTGTCGAGGGAGGACACACCTTCACGTTGCACACCCTCCAGGTAGGTGCGGCAAAGCCATGGTTCCAGCTGTGGGGAGGCCATGTCAGGGGGCTGGGTGTCTGATGGGGGCTGTGAGCCTCCCCAAGATCCTGGTCTCACCTTCACCAGAACCAGGCTCTTCTCTTTGGGCCTCCCAGCAGACAGGTCCTGCCCAAAGCCTAGATAGATGGTGTAGTGGGGGGATCCCCGGCGCCGCCGTGCCTGGAATTCCACCAGCTCTAAAGGAGGAGCTCTTTTGAGTGCTGGGTAGGCAGGGGAACACCTGGAGACAACCCCCAAGGCAAGTGCCTCACTGACCTTGGAAGAAGGTGCCGAAGTCAAAGATGGGAGTGTCATGGTTCCTCGGCAACAGGCAGGCAGGGTTAGAGGGACTGGCGGAGCCCAGGGGGCTGCCCACCTCCCAGTACACCTTGCACTTGCCCATGCGCCGGGCCCAGAGTCGCAGCCCCCGCAGCTCCAGCTGCAGCCCGGGGGCCACATGCCGCAGCAGCTCCTCTGTGTAGCGTAGCTGCTTCTGGTCAGGGAGTGCCGCCGGACTGGGGAACACCACGAGCTGGGGCTCTGCAGCCTGGACAGCTGGGCCTGGGGCGCCATACAGGAGCACAAAGCGTGGACACACCACTACCTCCTGCAGCACTGCGCGGCCTTTGTACATGACGGTCACCTCCAGCACCCCTGTGCTGGGCTCTGCACAGAGCCAACTATGAGCACCAGGGATGGGTGAGAAGGGCCACCCCCACCCCAGCCTGAGCCTGCTTACCTCCTGCTACAGGGCACATGCTGGGGCCAGGGGCTGGGTGGGGCTCTGCCTGATATGGGGGCTCTGGAGCTGCACCCAGGCCTGTACCTGGAGCCAGGGGTTGGGGCCCAAGGTGAGGGGCAGCTTCCACAGCCCATGCTGCCTGTGACTCCCCAGCAGGGAGCTGTGGGCCTGGGGAGGGAAGGGGAGAGTAGAAACTGCCCCAATGGCCTAGCTGTCTAGCACTGTTCCCACTTAGCCACCCCTGCACAGTTCCCACCTCCCATTCCCAGGGCTCTGACTCTGCTCTTGGGTCCTCTAGGATCAAGTGTTAGGCCTAGTGCAGTGTGTCCCTATTACTCTGCCTGCTCCTCCCCCAGGCATTGCCCCTGCTGGGCAGAGCACCCTCACCTCCAACACAGTCCCTGCTTAGGGCTGCCCCTCCAGGAGCCTGTGGGGGGACCAGGTCTGCCCCACACACAGCTTTCAGATGGTCCCCCAGGCAACTCTCCTGCACAGCCTGGAGCAAGAGGTCCCCCATGTCACCAGCTGGGGCAGTAAGTGGACATGGGTCTTGCAGCTCAGAGTCTCCTTTTGGCAGGAGTGGCCCTGGGGGCCCACCCTGCAGGGCAAAGACAAGATTGGCAGAAGCACTTGGAGCCTCCCTCAGTCCCAGCAGGAGGTGGCAGACCCCAACACCCAGGAGACCAGGAGAGGCCAGCAGAGATGTTACCTGTGTAGGGGAGGCATTCTGGAGGGCATCTTCCTCACTCTGGTGGATGGCTGGGCTTTCTGAGAATGGGGTGAGGTGTCAGGACTGGAGAGGGTCTGTGACGGCCTGAGTAGCCCTATGGATTTGCTCTTCCCAATGGGCTGGCAACACACCCCCAGTAGCCAGGCACCTGCCCTGGGCCCCACCCCTCCCACACAGTCCTCACCTCTCCAGCCCAGTGTGGATCTGAGGGCATACACCTTGTGAGGGTCGTGGAGGTCCCAGGAGTTGTCTTCTAGCAACTTAAAGCGTCTCGTGCTGTGCAGCGCACAGCGGAAGTTGGTTTTCCAACCCGCTCTCTGTGTAGCCTCAGGGGGCAGCTGGTCACCTCTGCTGCTGGGTGGCCACCTGCCCCGGGCCACTGCCCAAGCCTGGGGAGGAGGACAGAGAATATGGGCCCGGGGCAGGGCTACAGGTCCTCCAAGGGCGGGGGGTGGGGGGGGGGAGTAGTGTCTCACCTTGAAGATGCGGGCATCAGCCTCGCTTAGATCCCTGCGTCCAAAGTGCTTCCAGGGTACTCGGAAACGGGTGTGGGCCTCGTCCAGCCACCTTAGCCCCTCATAGTAGCCACTACTGATCTCATGCAGAAGCCACTCTCCAAATAACACTCGAGCCCCTCTGCAGGTGGAACAACCATGCAGTGTCAGGGCCACCATGGCTAGGCCCATGGGGATTGCCTTGGGGGAAGATGGGCCTGGTTCTCACCTCTCAGGAGTCAGGGCCATTGCTCCTTCTACTAGGACAGTCCAGGGAGAGTCAGGTATTACGTGTGTCACGACAGGTGTCAGGCAGTGTGACCAGGTGTCAAGTGTGGCACAGGTGTTAAGGGTCACTGGTGTGGGCTGAGAACTTGTAGCCACCAAGTTACCTAGATGTGGATTCCTTGGTTGTGGTGGCTATAGACGTGGCGGTAGCAAACACGAAGTCACGGATGTTGAGCCAGGGTCCTGGCCCGGACAGGCAAGTGCCGCTGGACCCTGCCGAGACACAAGGGGAATGGCCGCTGGCCGCCTGGAGGGGGCGCGCCCAGAGGCTCCGGGGGAAAGCGAAACTGAACTGTGCGTCTCAGGAAAGCGAAACCTAAATAGCAGGCGGGCGCCGGCCCCCCCTCCCACATGCCACCCTGTATGGTCCTCGGCTGCCTGGAACTGCGTCCCCCAACCTCTCCACGCCTTGCCCCCTCGGCCTCCACATCCCTCTGTTCTGGCTCTCCGTGGCCACCACTATGTGAAGCAGACAGGGAAGGCCGGCCGCAGACTCTAGCTCTGCCTGTCACTGCGCTGGGATCGGGGCGGGGCGTTCCAAGTACCTGGTGCAGAAGACGCCGGGACGGAAGTTTCATCTCGCCGGGCCACTGGGAATCTGCGCTTTTATGGCCCAGGAGGGGCGGGGCGGGGCGGGGCCTGGGACTCCAGGTGCAGGGCCGAGGTCACGTGCGCGGCGGGCAATTTGGCTGAGGGTGTGGGGTCTGTTCTCACGGATCCCACCCCGGCAGCACGGAACGGGTTGGAGAATAGCGGAGGGTGACAGGAGTGGCCGGTGCTGTCCACCCACCGGCTCAGCCCCTGTGAGGCCCAGCGCTCCTCAGGACTGCACCTCCTACACGCCGGGGGACTGGGGTTACAGGCTACTGATTAGAATGAGCGGGGTACTCCACGAATGTAGAAGCAAATCAGGCCCTTTCTGCGCTTTTTAAAATAAGTAATGGGGCGGCGCCTGTGGCTCAAGGAGTAGGGCGCCGGCCCCATATACCGGGGGTGGCGGGTTCAAGCCTGGCCGTGGTCAAAACTAGTAAAAAAAAAAAAAAAAGTAACGGGAGGTGGGTGTGCGTGGGAAAACGGCAGCTGTGCAGTTTCAGACTAGAATTCTCAGATACTCTGGAAATTAAAACTTTTGGAAAGGAATTCATGGTGCCTGATGATGCTAGCGACCCACAAGGGATAGTTTGATGGCCTTTTTCGTGGAAGTCCAACCTAGGATCTGCCTCTCGTTCCTGGCTTCGGGGCCTGCCTCCGTCCGTCACCTGGCTGCACCTCACTCGAGACACGGCCTGCAGACCCACGCCCTGCTCTGGCCACACTTGGACTCGCCCACCCCCAGTGCCGCACGCACCAGGCCGGCGCGCAGGGTGTTCCCTGCTGTGTCCCCACCCACAGACGTACATACTTGGGACGGGATTGTGACACGCCCGCCTCGGCCCCCGCGCCCTTGTCCCAACACAGCCACTCCTTCAGGGGGGTTGCGTTGCCTCCTCAACTCCCCCAGGCAAGGAATCTCCTTGTTGGGTTGGGAGGGGAATGTCAAAGCTGAGGGAGGTTCCTGAGATTTCCCAGCGTAGGGAGCCACCACCCTCCCGGGCTGGGGTTAGACAAGGAGAGGAACTGAGGAGCTGGGGGGTGGAAGGAGGCGGGCGCAGCAGGTGGTTTACGGGAAGTGCCCGCGCTCTCAGGGTACAGGGACAACCGCCCGACCGCCACCACCCCCACCCATGTCCCGAAGCTAAACAGAGTCGGGATCCCCACCCCCACGGGCTCGCAGGCCTGACACCTCGCTGGGCGATTCAGAAGTGTGGCTTTATTCTTCATAATGGAAGGTGGGCGAGTATAGCCAAGCGGAACCCCCAGGGTCTAGACCCTCCGAGAGGTGGCGGAAAGCCACCCTAGATGTAGGTGGAATCGGCATCAGCCTCGTTGTGTGGACTCCCGCTCCGGCCCCCTTCTGTGTCCTCGTCCCCGCTGCCCTCGTTGCCTGAGTCGCCAGCGCAATCTGCCTCCGAGGGAGGCGCGTTGAGGACTACGACATCTGCCTCGGCTCCGATGTCCTCACCAAACCACACCGCTTTGTAGCCGCCTTCTGGCCGCCGCTCCTTGGTCAGGATGGACCTCACGGCTCCCGGGCTTTCTCCAGGCGGGGTTGCCACAGGGGACTCCAGGACACTTCTAGGGGGCATGGGACTGGGTGGCGCAGGTGTTGCGGGAGGCTTGCGTGGTGCGGGTTGGGCAGGCATTGATGGTGCCTCTGTGGGCTTGGGGCTGTGCCCTGGGCTTGGGGCAGGTGCCCAATTGGCCTCCTCGGCAGCATGGAAAGCCTGGTTCTCAAACCCTGGGGGCTGTGGTTCCTAGGGGAGGGGGAGGAAGAGCAGAGCAGTTAGCTCTGACTCCTCACCAGGTGCCCATGCCATTTTTTCTACCCCTGGTGTCTCTCTGTCCACCTGTTCAAAACTGCTTTCCCTTGGGAACTGGGTGGTCCTGGGTTCCTGGCTCCCACCTCCACCCATCTCTGCCCTGCTGTCCTAACCTGTCCATGTCTGTACCCTTCCTTCCCCTTCCCATCCCCACCCCTCAGCCCCCTAAGAGCCTCACCAGAGTTTTGCCAGAGCAGCACTTGAGTTGGTGGCCATAGTGCTTATGGGCGAGGGCCACCAGGCAGAGGAGGGCCAGCAGCAGCAGTGCACCCAGCACCCCGCCCAGGGTGGCCATGTCCACCATCGAGAAGCGCTTGTCCTCAGTGAGGTCATCACCTAGTGTCCCTGCTGAAAACACCTCCCACTCACTGTTAGAAGACTCAAAGCATTGCCCACACCAGCCTGTGCCAGGCTGAGGACACCACAAACCATCTAAGCCTGGCCCACCTCCCAGAGCTGAGTTTCTGGGGAGTGGCTCTGCTGGTGCCTCCGCTAGGGAGCTTTGGTCCCGGTGAGTCCCTGCAGGACTCCCTGGAGCCAGGCTGCCAAGGAGCTGACAGGGCACAGGTTGGGTGCCACCAGCTCCATGTGGGACACAGGGCCCACCATAACAGGAAGGGCCATGAGAGCAGCACAGGGAATCACAGGGGATCGTAGAGTGAATAGTCCTGGGAATTGCAGGGCACACTAGACTCCAAATCTGGTTTTTGCCCCACCCTCCACCCATCTTTTCCAGGTCACCTCACTGGGTACTGGGACTGTCTTTGTCAGAACAGAACAGTCCTTCCTTGGGACTGCATAGCAACATGGTCAGGCCAGGCTGTCCCGAGGTAGACCCTGCCCTATAGAGTAGTGTTTCTCAACCTTCCTAATGCTGCAACTCTTTAATACAGTTCCTGTGGGTCACGACCACAGGTTGAGAACCACTGCTATAGAGTATCCTGGGGCCACCCAGAGTCCCAAGAATGGAGAGTAAGGGTAGCTGCCAGGCAAATGGGTTGGGCGGGTACCTGAGGTCAGAGGGCTCCTGCTGGGCCCTGGGGGTGTCAGCCAAGAAGTCCCTGGACTCGTGTTCTGTGCTGAGCCCCCAGGTGTGCCTGGTTGGGGGGAGGTGCTGTTTGCCATACTGGGGGGCGTGGGCAGAAAGGTCCCTGGCCTCACGGTCTGTGATGAGCCCCCAGGTGTGCCTGGTTGGGGGGAGGTGCTGTTTGCCATACTGGGGGGCGTGGGCAGAAAGGTCCCTGGCCTCATGGTCTGTGATGAGCTCCCAGGTGTGCCTGGTTGGGGGGAGGTGCTGTTCGCTGTACTGGGGGGCTCCCCAGGTGTGGGTGAGGTAGGTGGCCTCAGAGTTGTGCCCAAGGGTGGGCAAAGCCCTGGGCTTCCTCCAGAGCCAGTTGTGGAGGGTCCCTGAGAGGGCCCAGGGGGCCTGGGGGCTTCCACGGTTGTGCTGCGCCAGGGCTCCGCTGTTCCTCCAGCCTCTGGGGGACCTGGAGGCCATGGACAGTGTTTGGGCTTGCCTTTGCCCCCCTGGCATACCTACCCTAGGGAAGGAGCCATCTAGCCTGAAGGGACCCCAAGAGGGCTCATTGGGCCATGCCCTAGAGGCTCACCTGTGGGGGGGGCCTACCTGTGGGGGGGGCCTCCTGTTCTGAAACTCGGATCTCAACCACTGTGGTTGCTGTGCCCAGGGTCACTGTATTCTTGGCCTCAACCTGAGGTAGGACAGGAGTTCATCCTTCCTAGCCCTTCTTTAACACCCACACCCTCCGAGATGCCCACCCACCTGCCCTTCACCTCTGCATAGAAGACCTCCCTGAACCCCAGCACAATGGTGGTCAGCACTGTCTCTCCGTCCATCCGGAAGTAAGAATTGTTGGTGACTCGATAAATGATGGCTGAGTTGAGGTCCTGGAGGCAGCAGCTCCAGTGAGTCCTGGGCCTAGACCCACCCACACAGAGGGCAGACCCAGCAGGCCCAAGGATTGGGCAGGGGCTTAGATTCCTGAGTGGCAGGAGGGGACTGATGGCCAGGCTCTGGGCAGCCCTTGGATGGGCCGCGTACCGGGAACTCTGGATCCTGAGCCCGGATCCTCAGAGGCTGGGAGGGGGCAGCGGCATCCTTGACAGCAACACCTGCTCCAGAGCCGAGCGCCACGGTGCCGAGGTACAGGTTCTGGGGGAAGTGGGGCAGGCTCCCCGTGGTGGCAAGGGCCTGCACGGTGACCTGGGTCACGGAATAGCGGGCATGGTCGGCCTGCTCACCCTGGGGGATGGAGGAGGCAGCAGTGACCAGAGGGTGCTTGAAGGTTAAACTGGTTCTGCAGCTGGGGCTCAGGAAAGGCTGCCCAGCCTCATGCTGGTGCCCACCTTCACCACCAGAAGGAAGGTCCTCGGGCTGGGCACACTCTTGGCCATGGTGAGGTTGCCAGAATCTGGGTTGATGGCGAATATGTTGTCCACATCTCCTGGAAGGACAGTAGTGTTTGGCCCCTGGTCCCCATCCCTCAGGACCTGGGTCCCAGCTGGCTGTGCTCAAGGTGGGGGCAGAGATGGAGTCTGGACTGCACTCACCATCCACAATGCTATAGATGACACGCTGGTTGATGGCCCGGTCTCCATCCTCAGCATAAATGGGCCCAGGACTCAAGACAAGTGGGGACGGCTGTGATGATGGAGGGAGGAGCATTGTAGGGCTGGTGTAAATGGCCCCACCTTGGGCGCTCCTGTTCCCCTCCAACTCAGCCAGCACAGGGCCTGGTGCAGAGGGCTCAGGGCAGGAGGCCCAGGCAGTCTAAGGGGTATGCCTTCCTGCCTGCTGGGCCACTCCAGTTGTCCAGTTGACGATGGTCAGTAACACCCCCTTGCATCCCTTACTAATGAGCCAGGTTGCCCAGAGACATTTGACCAGTTTTTTGTTTTTGAATTTTTTTTTGGTTGAGGCAGGGTCTTACTATGTCGCCTTCAGTAGACTGCTGTGGCATCACAGCTCACAGCAACCTCAAACTCTTGGGCTTTAGCAATTCTTTTGCCTCAGCCTCCCAAGTAGCTGGGACAACAGCTTGCCACAACACCCAGCTATTTTTTGGTTGCAGTTGTCATTGTTGTTTAGCAGGCCCAGGCTGGGCTCAAACCCGCCAGCCCCAGTGTATGTGGCTGGCGCCCTACTCACTGAGCTGTGGGTGCTGCCCTTTTTTTTTTGAGACAGAGTCTCACTATGTCTACCCTAGGTAGAGTGCTGTGGCATCACAGCTCACAGCAACCTCAAACTCTTGGGCTTAAGTGATTCTCTTGCCTCAGCCTCCCAA